AACGTGACCTTTCTGTGAGGTTCTCTCTTGTGCAGTATCGATGACCTCCCACTTTGTGACCTGATCCAGCYGCGTGCTCGCACAGCTGCTCCAGGCCTCCTGAAGGCACTATCGGAATGAATCGGGCCGCAGAGCCACCATCTAACTTAAGTGGTCACTTACTTAGGAGGTGACTGTCTCAGAGCCCTCCAAACTCACCCCAAAATGCATGGGTCGATTTCATCCATCCTACCCCCCAAATAAAAAAGATCACTGCATGGTTCTAGGCGGCGCTGGGCACTGTCACAGATCCCTGCAGGTGATTCCCCACGACCTCCCGCTGCACCCTGAATGACTCGCGCCCTGTAACCCTCTGTGTGCCCTCCTCAGGTGAGGCTCAGAGGCTGTGTCCCGGCCCTCAGAGGCACCGACGTGAATCCTGAAACCAGGGCTGTGGGCGCCACACTCAGAGCCTCCGGCCGCATCGCCCTGAGAGCCCACTGCCCTCGCCCTTGGGGGCAGCTGAGCAGGCCCCTCCTGGTCACTCGCTCTGCGGTGAGTCTTGCGTCAAGCACGCRGGTCCCACGCYCGAGTGGCCGGGTCTCCTGAGGGTGCGTGGGGAGGGCCGTTCTGCGCACAGTGCCTCCGACGTTCCCTTRCCGTGAGGTGGAGGGGAATCGTGTTGGCTGACTCTTTGGGGGTAAAACGTAGTGTAGGAAACGGCACGAGGGTGGCACATTAGCTGGAACCTTCTGGAGGAAGGRTCCTGTCGGATGACCATCCGGGGCGGGGAGGGGCTCCCRAGTGCTGCCTGGACGGTGCCTCRCCACSGGGCCTTGCTCTGGAGGAGGACGAYATCCAGAACCGTAGGGGATCATTTCCTCGCGGTTCTTCCTATCACCCGGGGGTGTCCCACAGTGTGGCCGCCCCAGTCTGTTGTGTATGCCACTCGAGGTCACGTCCTGCACAGTCGGAGGCTCTTGCTCGGGAAGTTCCTTCCCTTCTCCTGCTCCCTACGGCTCTCGTGAGTCCGGGCYATTTTCCAGAGGACTCTCCCGCCAGGTGCCACCTGGGGGTTCAGGGACTCCAAAGACGTTTTACGTGGGTCTCATCTGCGTCGGGATATTCTGACAAAGCTGGATTTTTGAGAAGAAGTGGACTCACTGCTTCCKACAGGTGGGGTCCGCGCGGCCGAGGCCTCTCAGCTGATGAGCGTCACCGCTCCCAGAGGTGGCCGTGCCCCCAGGTGGCGGCGGACCCCAGCCATTCCTTCTCCCTGGGTTCTTGTCTCGTGGATTCCAAACGGAAATCGAGTCAGCCTCCTGATGAACCCGTCCCCAGTGAGTGATTTGTGTCACCTCATCTGTGTGTGCGACAAGTGCCCTTCTGTGTGTAAATCTTAAAGGCCACCTGCCCAAGAAACGCACAACTCAGACGACRGGCCTTGGAGGAGCACTTGGGGAGATCCCGGGGGACGAGTGGCAGGGCAGGGCTCTGTGGCGTCTTTTCAGACATTTCAGTGACGTGGTGGACGACCCTGTCTCCTGGCCGGGGCGGGTATCCGTGAACCCTGGCCCGTGTTGGCTGCCCTCGCAGCGGGCGGCCCCTTTAAGGGAAGGAAAGTCTCCTGGCTGGCCAGCGCAGGCCGGGGCCAAGTGGTCATGAGCTGCTCTGGTGTCCAGGGGCGCTGTGCTCACGATGACCTGGACGTTAGCTGACCGCCTCGGTGGTAGGAGGGCCCTGCTCACCTCCTGACGGTTCCGTGATGGAGTGGGCAGGACGGCGCCGCGGGGGCGCAGAACAGGGATGCGGTTCCATCGGGAGGAGAGGGGCGTGGCRCCGGCAGGAAGCCCAGGGCTTCTGTGAGAGACCCAGGGACGGGCTCCGATGACGGGGTGGGAGGGAGGCCGGGGAGGACCTGAGGGCGGSGTCGCCGCTCGTCACAGTGCCCCTGATGCGAGGGCAGCTGCAGCTGCTCTGTGGGCCGTGATCCCAGCGGAGTGCCCGGCCCTCAGGGCTGGGTGGGGACAGCTGGCAGCTCTGGCAGGGCTCCAGCCCCAGGAGGCCGCCAAGCCCKGCGTGAGAGAGGGCGGTGCTGGGTGCCTGGTAAAGAGCCCGGCGTCGTGTGGGGGAAGGAGCCCTGAGCCTTGGTGACTGAGAGTGGCCCCAGGCCCGGGAGGGAGCAGCCGGGGCCTGGTGTCGGGGTCCTTYAGCCGACGGCTCTGGCCTGGCAAGAAACCTGCGCTTAAGTGACTACCACGGTCAGAGGACCCTGTGAAGTCTGTCCTGGGGACAGGCCTGCAGCGGTGTCCCCTGGTCACCTATATCCACAGGCATCTCAGAGCACAGAGCCGTCTTACCTGCCTTCAGGATCCTAGGCACAGCCGCGTGACCTGGGCGTACGCTCAGGAGGCCGAAGCCGAGTGTCCCCTGCACTCTGCCTGCTGAAGGCTGGCTGGCCTCAGAGCCGGTCATTGTCCTGGGGTCCCCCAGCTGTGCCGTGGTCAAGGACTCCAGACGTTGAGCCATGTCYAGAGGAGGCAGCTGGCCAGTGTGTCCTCATATGCTAGAAAGTCCTGGTTACGGGTGGGGAACCTTCCCCGACCCCTCCCTTGACCCCAAGTCCGGCCCCAGGGCCCCGGGCTGCACCCACCTAAGGACCATCTTCCCTTCAGAAGGGAGACCCTGGGGGCCCAGGGCCTGGGCAGCCTCCCTTGGACACGCTGCATGGGAAGTGTCCAGTCAAGGAATGGCCCATCAGGAGCTGGGGTGCTCTTGGGACAGGGCCTGGGGCGTGTCTGGGGCGTGGCCGTCCAATGGGGCACTGGGGTCAGCAACCCAGTCCAGTCAGGCCTCTGGGCGGGTCTCAGTGGCCTCCAGCCCCAGATGCCGTGCGCTGCCTGGCGCTGCCCAGGACCCCCAGAGCGCGTGAGCCCGGAGCTGCAGGATGGTGAGTGTGGGTGGGCGCTGCCCAGTGCTGGCCTTGGGAGGGTCCTGTCCTCTCCCTCTGGAGAGCCCAGCAGGGTGGGCATGGGGTGCCCGGGACCCTGAGCAGCCTCTGTCCCTGCTCGGCCCGGACGCCGCGGGAAGTTCTTCCCCCAGGTTTTAGTTTCTGGGGGACACGCTGACCGTGGGGGGATGGGGTCTCGGAGAGGCCAGAGAGGACCCTCCCTGTCGCCCAGAGTCCCACAGACAGGCCCAGGGGAGAGCCAGACCCCAACTTGCCAAGCAAAATGCAGAGACCAGGCGGGGACGCCAGCCAGTGTCCCTGGCAGGGTGGCTGGGGACATTTGGGAACAGGTGGTCAGGGCGGATGCCCCACGTGGTCGGATGGCCCGACGTGACCCTGGAGTCCAGCGAGTGGGAGACCGGCTGGCCCTGCCCTCCTGCCTGGGTCTCCTTCCCCACGTGRTCTGGTCGCTCGACTCTAATGAGGGGAGTGGGAGGTGGGGGGTCTCTGGAGAAGGGAAGGGGCCTCGCCAAACCCGGCTGGTGGGCGTCCCGCTGGGCGGTCTGGGCCGGGTTTTCCCTGCTCCCCTCTGGAGTGCGGTCAGCTCACATCTGTCCTCCTCCTGCCTGGAGGGCTTGGTGTGTAAACGGTGAGTGACCAAGATCCACCAAGGGTYGGGCGTCTGTGACAGGGGTGGCCCAGGCTCATCTCCTGTGTGGCCTCTAGAGGTTAACGATCGTTCTTAGGCTATGAAATCAGGGCCACCTAGGAACGTGGACGTGTGGTGGTTTCTATGGAAACAATTGCGTAGCGTCTTCTGAAAGGACCGGCCGTGTTCTCTCCTTGAACTGTAAAGTGCGTCCAGGTCTATTCCGTCCTCGGTACAGAAACCAGGGGCTTGAGTGATCTGGGTTCTTTGAACTCTGGATTTTGCTTCATTAAAATATCCACATGCACCAACACAGACACATGAGCAGCCCGTCCAGAAATACAGACCTCCACGGAGTCCAGCAGAGGGGGACCGCCTGGGGAGCAGGTCTCCAAGCTGAGGCCATCCTCAGCCTCCCAGGGGCCGGCGAGAAGGTGGCTGTCCCCGGGCGCCCCTCCTCCCGCGGGAATCCCTGCCTGCTCACACCTCTGCGGGGCAGTAGTGACCCTGTCTYCTGCCTTCTTGTGCCTCATCCTCATCTCCCTCCCCACCTGCTGCATGGCGGAGGCGCCATCCTCCCTGGTCCTCTTCTGTGGCCTCTAACTCCGCCGAGGCAGGTGAGGTCTGCCCTTTCACACGGCACCCGCCCTCGGTCCCCTGGGAACGTGGCTGGCTGGACTTCAGATCCACCTGATCCACGCGCACCGCACCCCTGCTCCCCTCAGACCCTCCACCTCCTACGACCTGGCTACAGCCATGTGCAGACCTGCTCCCGAGCCCCGAGACCAGGGTGATGGAGGTCACAGAGGCACACTGGGCTGGATCAGGTCACTGCTGGGCTCAGAACTCTGCCTGACCTCCATGTCACTCAGTGCCACAGCCAGCACCTCTGCCGCCGCAGACAAGCCCCCTCCCCTCCTGTCACCTCCCCTCCTGCCCCCTGATGCCAGCCCCGGCTGGGCCTGAGTGTCTACTGCTCACCCCTCCACAGAGCCCAGGCTCGGGCTCCTCACTCTCCTGAATAATTCTTTCCTTTTCCTGTTCATTTATTTTGCTTTTGTTCTATATTTTGTAAATTAAAGTAGGCATCTTTCTGGAATCTTGTGCTCTTCCTGATCTAGAGGGATCTATTTTGAAATTTCATCACAAAATGGGATGCTTGGGGTGCAGTAAAGAATTAGCCCAGGGCCGGGGCTGGGGCTCARTGCAGAGCGCTTGCCCAGCATGTGTGGGGCACTGGATTTGAGCCTCAGCACCGCATACAAATAAATTTAAAAAAAATTAAGGTATTGTGTCCATCCATATACAACTAAAAAATGATTTAAAAAAAACATTTGTTGATTGACCTTTATTCATTTATTTTATTTATTTATATAGGGTGCCGAGACTCGAACCCAGTGCCTCGCGCATGCCAGGCAAGTGCGCTACTGCCGAGCCATAACCCAGCCCTAAAAAAAATGTTTTTAAAAAAGAATTAATCTTACCCAAAAGACAGGCCTGAGCTTTGCCGCTAGCTCCGGGAGGGGGCAGAAATGACAGACCCTAATAGACAGGCGAGGAGAAACCGGGTGTAATTGCAAAAGCGCCTCGTGGTCCCACCCAGAGCCTGCCAGGGCGAACCTCAAGTGTTCACACACCCAGTTATTCTAAAAGGAGCACCAACGACAAGGCCGACCCATGAAAAGCCTGCTTTTCCCCGACAGGCAGGTGAGAGCCCCCGCGCCTCCCACGGGCTCACCCACGCCACCGGGACGCCCCGCCCCTGGGTTGTGTGTGGACAGCCTTGTGTCACCGTGACCAAAATAGTTGAGCAGAACAAGCCAGAGGGCAAGTTTATTCCGGGCCACAGCTTCAGGCTCCGTCCTGGCTGCCCGCCTCTCTCTGGGCTTGGCTGAGGCAGAGCCACTGTGGAGGGAGTGCAGGAGGGGCGCCCGGCTCCGCCTCCAGGGACAGAGGATCCAGGGACAGGATCTCGTCCCAGGTCACGCCCCCAGCGACCTCTTCCTCCAGCCAGGCCCACCTGCCCCTAGTGACCACTCAGAACTGCATTCGAATCCCCATGAATCAGCCACTCGTGCGGTCACAGYTCTCATGACCTAACAATGTCACCTCTGAAACTTCCTGCATCGTCATCTGACTCAGGAGCTTCCGAGGGGACATTCAAGATCTGAGYGTGACAACCTAAGTAATGTCACCTCCACGTGGGGAGCCATGGTCGGGGGGAGCCTCCTGTGAGCYGAGTCGGTCCCCAGGGCGGAGCCCCTCGGTGCACATCGATGGTCTGTCCTAGGACCCAGTGGCCTTTGAGGAYGTGGTCGTGGACTTCTCCCCYGAGGAGTGGGCCCTGCTGGACGGTGCTCAGAGGGACCTCTACAGGGACGTGATGCTGGAGACCTTCAGGCACCTGGCCTCCGTGGGTGAGGGCGGCTTCTTCACCCGCCACCTACCTAAGCCCCTTCCACAGTGTGGAAAGTAGATGGGGAAGACCCTGGGTAAGGAGGCTGTCACGGCCGCCATCAGGGAGGTCACACTGACTCGTGATTGGCTTCCGGGCCATTTGTGTGGGCTCCCACTCACAGGCCCCGGGGGAGGCGGGAGCGTGTTGGAGGACRGGGTCGGGAGAGCTCGGTCCTCGCAGGAGCACGCTGGCCTCAGGGACAGGCTGGCGCCCACCGAGCGGTTTCCTGGGAGAGCAGACCCGGCCCTCGGCTCTCCCCACCGCTTCCCGTCCCCTCCTTTGCCACGGTTGACACGGCAGGGGGGGKGCCTCACCCAAAGCTGGCCAGAGGGAGCCACCTAACGTGGCAGCCAGCCTCCAGCCTCCAGAACCACGAGCCCAGACGGACCTCTTTAAGCATGTCCGGGTCTCAGGTGTCCTGTCGGAGCAACAGAAGGCTGACGGAGGCCACAGGGAGGTCTCGGCCGTGGGCCTGCGTTCTGGTCCCCGGGGCCYGTCTCAGTAGAATGAGGGGACAGCGAGCTCCTGGCTGGGCCGGGCCTCAGCGCCGCCCTCCCGTCTGTCCCTGGCTGGGTTTCAGATGACGGCAGCCAGCGCAGTGAGCCCGCCCGGCCAGGAGCCTTGTTGTCCAACAAGCAGAAGATCGCCAGGTTCAAAAGGAACAACACCTGGGCTTCCCTCTTGGGAGAGAATTGGGGACAGCACTGCATCGAAAAGAGRGACAACAAACAGGGGAGACATCTGAGGTGAGTGTCGCTTAGTGGGACTCTCAGTGTGTAAGGGGGAAAGTTGGCACACACAGGGGCGAGGGGGCGGGGGCAGAGGCCCGCCTGGCCGGTGCCAGGCCCTGGGTTCCATCCTCAGCACCAYGTAAGAATAAAAAAACAAAGGTGTCGTGTTCATCTACAACTGAGAAATTAAAAAAAAAAAAGAACTAAAAAAACCCAAAAAGAGTATAAAGCCAAGCCTGGGTAAGCGGTGACCACCAGAAATCCCAGCGCTCAGGACCCTGATGCAGGAGGATGGCAATTTCAAGGTCGAACTCAACCCCAAAATGGTGGGTGGGCTGGGAGGTGGTTTAGTGATCAAGCACCCCTGGGTTCAACGTCAGGAAGAGGGGAGGGAAAGAAGGGGGGAGGGAGGAGGGCAGATCAAGCTGGATCCAAATTTATTCAAAGAGAAGTTTCCAGAAATTCTCTGAATATGATTGGAACATGGAGTATCTGAAAGACGATGCGGTTGGAAGCCATCCTCACGGATCCCCAGACGTCACTATTTCTGTGGTCATGGTCTATGGCTGAACCCTCTTCCTGAGCCTCTGGTTCAGAACAGGGCAGAACACCTACACTCACATGGAGGYGGATGTGACCCCAGTGTGTAACCAGGAGAGGCCACGGGGCTGGGCGCGGCTCAGGGGTAGGCACTGGCCTAGYCTGTGGGAGGAACCGGGGTCCGTCCTCAGCACCACATAAAAAACTAAAAGTAAAAAACACATAAAAAATTTTAAAAATGAATCGCTAATAGTCGTCGACGTGCTCCCCGTTCTTAGCAGAATCCACACGCTGAAGCGACTTTGTGCACGGGGTAAAAGGAACGAGGGTGGCAGCTCCTCCTGCCAGACGCCCAGGAAACCCCCCCGGGCAGCCAAGCGCTACGAGTGCGGCGAGTGCAGGAAGGTCTTCACCCACTCGTCCTCCCTGCAGAGGCACCGGAGAATCCACACGGGGCAGAAGCTGCACAAGTGTGCCGAGTGTGGCAAGGCCTTCAGCCGCCCCTCGTACCTCAGGACGCACGTGAAGACCCACAGCGGGGAGAAGCCCTACGCCTGCAGGTTCTGTGGGAAGACCTTTCTCCGTTCCTACTCCCTCACCGAGCACATCAGGACTCACACCGGGGAGAAGCCCTTTGAGTGTGAGCAGTGTGGGAAACCCTTCAGCTGCCCCAAGTCCTTCCGCGTGCACGTGATGATGCACACCGGAGGGAAACCTTACGAGTGTGAGCAGTGTGGGAAAGCCTACAGCTGCCCCAAGTCCTTCCGTGTCCACATGATCATGCACACCGGGGAGAGACCCTATGAGTGCCAGCAGTGTGGGAAGTCCTACTGCTGGCTCACGTCCTTTCAGAGACACGTGAGGATTCACAACGGAGAAAAACCCTACAGATGTGACAAGTGTGGGAAAGCCTTTGGTTGGCCTTCATCCCTGCACAAACACGTCAGAATGCACACGAAAAAGAAATCAGTGAGTGCCAGCAGGACCGGAGCCCCTTCAGGGAGCGTGATCCTGCAGAACGGAAAGCGACTCTACAGATGTGACAAGTGTGGGAAGGCTCTGGGCTGGGCCTCTTCCTTGCGTAAACACCTGAGGAAGCACGCTGCAGAGAGCGCTGTGAGTGTGAGCGGCGCAGAAGAGCCTCCCGGGGGCCCTCAGCCTTCCGAAAAYGCGGCGCAGTTGGAAGAGGAGCCCTATAAATGTGAAAACTGTGGGAAAGGGTTCAGTTGTGCCAAATCCTTCCAAGGTCACATGAGAAGTCGCCACGGAAAGAAACCCTGTAAATGTAAGTAGTATGTAAAAAAAAAAAAAAAACAAACCAACCTATGCAGATTAAGTCATCTATAAAGGTCCAGAAAATTTACCCCAGGAGAGAAATCTTATTGATAAATGGGGCCTCGCCTTGGCCAATACCTCATCCTAAAAGTGAAACCCTATCAAATGAATTTCCAGTTTTCCTGCAAGTCAACACTGGGGTGAGACTTCTCTAAGCGCTCTTTCATTTATAGAACATGAAATTTCAATAGAGTAGTTTTTCCTATAAGTTCAGTTGCTTTTTCTCATTTTGAAGTGTGCTGCACCAATGGGGAATTTGCCGTGTGTTTCTACATTGGAAGTGTGACTTTCGTAGTCGTTGGTGGTTCTGTAAACACGGGCCATCAGGCCAATGAAAGGTGGGTCTGTTAGCGTCTCACTGTCCCTGTGTCCCACGCGGAACACCACATACCCACRTTTCCTACCTTTTTATTTCATTGAGAAAAGTAACAATTTTGATGTTAATACTTTTTTACTTACATAAGGTATGCATTATCACAAAAAACACCTTTGGCCAGAGGCCTACGGTTCTATTTGTAGAGCTCTGCAGCCACTTATCAGTTGGTTGACTCGTCGGCAGAGACTGGTAGCAGGCAGAGATCCTGAGAGCGGTCGGTGGGAAGTGTTGTTTTCACAGGATGCCCTGGGCTCTTTGTCCTGCTGGGGACTGGACCATGGGTCTGAATCAGGAAGAGAAGCCTGAGAGGAGCAGCCATCTGGAGACAGAGGTGGCTAGCGTCACGGTCACAGGGTCAGGCCAGGACTACACCTCCCAGGATGCCCTGTCTGGAATTCTGTTAGCCCAATTTGCAGGAGCTTTGGAAGAGGCMGTGATTCAGTCGGTCAGGTCACCACCACGTGGCGATCCGTGCGCAGGGACCCCAGGGTCTGGCTTATTTTCCTGAGTTTAGCCCCATCCATCAAAAGCATCTTTAAAATGCATATCAGCGGCTTGTCCTCCATTCTGTTGGAGGTCGCGGCTGCCACAGGTCCCCAGGGAAGGCTTTCCCTTCATGGATGCACCTCCAGGTGAGACATCCAGATGGGTGTCCCTACAAGGTCTACGCGGCCTGCCAGGTTCTTTCTGTCCCCGTTTGTGAAGTATGTAGTCTAATTTGTATGATGGACGCCTCATTCTCTTGAAACTTCTCACGCCTCTGTATCCCTGATTCCACGGTGACAGGGTCAATAACGGCCATAAAAACACCTGGACTGTTTCCTACTGCAGTGTCGAGAGGCTGCCCTGACCAGGTTCATCTATGAGATGTCACTGGGGACAGACGGGGGGCTGAGTACAATCCTTCAATACGTGTCCCGTTACTGTTTATGTGTCACTGAAACAAAAAGAGTTTCTGAGAAATATCCTATTATATTTTCACATAAGTTGTACGTAGATGTCTGTGAATTTATGATGTTACATCCTGATAGACCCATGTGCGGAAAATGTTGTCAGTTGAAAGTGCACTCGACCCACCTAGCTACCCGACGCCACCGCCTGGCCAAGAGCCCTACACGTGCCCAGAACACCTACATTGGCCTGCGTTGGGCAGAGTCCTCGGACACAGAGGCTGGTGGACAGAAGCGTCTGGCGATTTATTGAGTTCCTCTATCCAAAAAGTTCYAGCCATAGGGCACACCCAGGCACCTCACGGTCACGTGGCTGATGAGCCGCGGCTGGCCTGACCACCACCAGGGGAGAGGCTTGGGCTTCAGACATGGGCCGGAAAAGATGGAGATTGAAAACCTGAAGACTGGTCTCAACTGAATTCACATCACCTGCCTCGTGACAAGTAGCCACACAGTGCACCACGTGAGTCAGGGTCCCCACTGTGTGATGTAGGAAGAACTTCTGAGAAGCAGGAATGAGTTTGTACTAACAAGTGCCATCATTTTCCATGGACTGAAAGGATATATTAAAGTATTAAAACCATAAATGGCCAGATCACTTTGTAACTCTGTGAATTTACCTCTGCATTCAAGTTTAGTAAATTTTAGTAAACTCATTGTGACAATTTTACCAAATTCGTCCTTATTCATTCATAATAGTAACTTTAAAAAGTCTTATTAATTTCGTGTGGTGCTAAGCTAGTAAAAGATATAAAATAATCCTAATAAAGCAAGTGTAAGCTTTATGTGCTGTATCAAGACAGAAGGAAGTAAAATAGAAACCACCGCAGAATGAAGGATACAGGCCGCAGTGAATGAGACTACCGTCATGAATTCATTTATATTTATGCTGCAAAATACGTCTTCAGCACTGTTTCCAGACTGGCCAAGGTTGTTAGTAAACAGTGGGAGCTCCCTTCATTGAGTTGATAGTAATTATCTTTTATAAGAATGAAGATATAAGCATGTTCAGCCTCATTTTTACAAACATTAGAAACCTTAAGGCTTTCAGACTATGGACCAGCCTGGTATCCACCTAGGGATGGGTGGGTAGAGAAGCCATGGGGTATACACAGTGGACTTTTATTGAGCCATAAAGAAAATGGAATCATGTCATTTGCAGGAAAATGGATGGAACTTGAGAACAGCAGGTTAAGGAATCAGACTCRGAAGGCGGTCCTGTGCTTCCTGTCCTGTGGGTGTAGGGAGGAAAAAGGGGAAGAAAGATAAGGGAGGATCTCACCAAAACTGAAGGGAGCCCAGTGGCGTAGAGGGACCAGGGGGAAAGAGGAAAGGAAGACCTGGGGAAGGGTCCTGGGCAGACTGTAGGTCACATTCTGCGCCTGTACAGACATGTGCCACAGTCCCCACCGTGGTGGACGTGACCCTGAACCAATGAAACAGGAAGGATGTCTTGAGGATGTCCTCTCGATTGTGAGACTGAACGTTCTTGTCCAGGAGACGGATTCGGCCCACAGTGTGGTGATGAGTCACCCTTTGGAAGAATCTTAAATTTCACTGTATATTTATTTGCCTTGTCACTCTGCTGCTCCTGCACTTCWCCTGTGGGAGCCCACTAGCGCGTGACCGCTTTGCCTCCTCTTCTGATGGGTGTGGCGTGTCACTCTGTGATCTGGCTGCCTAGAGCAACTGAGTCTTCGTGCCTGGGTGTGCCTTCCCACACCCCCATGGGTGGACCTAYGCCCACCTGTTCTTTTGTGATGTTACCCCTTGCCCTGTTTGGCATAGAATGTTCCATGGAAACGCTCTTTGTGTGTCCCCTTCTCTTGCTCTGCCCTTGGGTGTGGCCTTCCTAGATGTCAGTCAATCTGCTGACAGTGGACATCATGAAACCAGACTCAGCCCCTGAAACCTGACCCCTGGCTTCATTTGAATAGCTTCTCCTCAATAAAAGGGGTCAGCCACACAAAGGGGGGGCTCTCTCTCTCTCTCTCTCTCCCTCTTTCTGCGGACCTCCAAAGAAAAAGGTCTCTCTGTCTCTTGGTGGTTATTGCGTGCAGCCCAGGCCCCTGGAGTGACCCTGAGTGTCTTAGTCACATGCAACCTGGCCATCATCCAGGAAGATTCACCAGGAGAAACCAGAGTGCCCACGGCTGGAGAGGARTGTGGTCAGCTGCGCAGCTCCTGCCCACGTCTTTCTCTGAGTGGAGTCCCGTCTACCCACATCYGCTAGCAGCAAGAGCTGTAGGTGGTGAGCCGCGAGCTCCCAGGGATAACTGGCATGAGCCACACACAGGAGGGTAGTGAGGACTGGACCCAGGGGCACTTCACCACTGAGACACATCCCCAGCCCTTTTCATATGTGATTCTGAGASAGGGTCTCATTAGGTTGCTGAGGCCAGCTTTGAACTTCACTCCTCCTGCCTCAGCCTCCCAAACCCCTGGGATGACAGGCCTGCACCACCACAGGGGGCTGAAGTGTCATTCGGGGCGGGGGGGGGGGGAGGATACTGGGGATTGAACTCAGTAGTCACACCACAAGACCCTCACAGTGTCCCACGAACCCTCCCGGTGGCTGTTGACACCAGGCGTGGCCCTGGAAACTCCAAGACTCCTGGTTTTAAACCGTCAGATGCTGTAAMCCTCTCTCCCACACTGATTGTTAGGTGTGCCACCGACTGAGCACCCACAGTGTGAGTGTTCCTAAGAGCTGCAGAGACTTCAGCTCCAACATGCCTATGACGCTGAAGAGCCCACGTTACTGAACCAGCTTGCCTTCGAGGGGATGCAGGGACAGGGACGCCATCCACTCAGAAGCTCTGGGGTCAGTGACTACAAAGCCGCACTCACGGCCCCACCTTCCCTCACACACACCACACACCTCTGCTGTCCACTCCCCCGTGGGGCGCTGGCGAGATCTGCCCAACACTGTGGAGAGGCAGAGGAGCGTCCCCTTCCAGCCTAGCCTCCTCTCCACTCAAGACTAGCTCCGCCACACCGCCCCCTGGCTCCCTGGACCCCCGTGTTCAGGTTACCATCACACAAGTCTAGTGAACACAGACGTGAGGCGAGCACCCTGAAGAACAGACGGGTTCTGCACCGCGTGATCTAACATTCAGTTGGGAAGCAATAAATACGCAGATCAAACACAGGCACCATGGAAACTGGGAGGAAACTGCAAGCCGACTCCCAGTTGCGGGGCCACCTGAAGGAGAACGTGAAAACAACCATTTGAGGGAATACTCCACCTTGGTACCTGGATTGTTCTTTGCTTTTACCCCATGTAGAGACATAGAACAATGCACACAAGTGTGCAAAACCACCTACAATTATATAACGAAATACRCATTATTTTTGATATATGAATTTGATTTTAATTTTAAAAAATATTTATTTACTTATGTTTTAGGTGTAGATGGACACACACAATGCCTTTATTTTTATGTGGTGCTGAGGACCAAACCCGGGTCCCCACCCTGTGCRAGGTGAGCGCTCCACCGCTGAGCCACAATCACGGCCGGATATATGAATTCTATATATGACTATGTGTAACATGAATCATAGGCTCTGTGTGTGTATACCTAGATATCACATAGTTTATTATCTGCAGAGTGCAGGAACCCCACACCCGGTTCACTTCAAGGGGGGTGCCAGGGTGAAAGCCKGCTCTGCATCAAGCCTGGCCTTTCCTTCATGATGGACTTTTAATATTTCTAGGAACTGTGCKTAGATCCCGTATTCTCGCACAGATGTTGTTTCACATACAAAAGTCTAAAATATTTTCATATGACTTGCCTGTAATCTTCAGGGTCGTTGAACACTATTTTATAATATTCAACAAAAATACATTTTACAAACATCCCACTCTGCACGAGGGACAGGTGGTAATGGGGAAGAAGGGGGAGAACACTTAACCAAGGGAGGACTGAAACATTTTTTTTTTAAACCTGAAATTCACCCCTTTGGACATATTTTTATCTTCAAACTCTATAGTTTTTTATATTTACTGAAAAACTGAGGGTCCAATAGGGGAACAAATCTTTTCAGACCCAAACCCAGGGAACAGAGCTGAACTGATGGAGGTCGAGGCCGGCCACGCCCCCCCACGGACACGCACTACTGCCCACTACCTCAGCACCTGCAGGTCGCAGGGAGCTGACCTCCAAGTCTCTGGGCGGGGAATGGGGGTCGACATCCCGTGTCCAAGGGCATTCCCCCAGCAGGGCGCCCGGGTCGCCCCACCGCGCAGTCTGGGGTGCGCAGCAGGCGGTGGGGCCCGGCCACCCGGGCAGCCGTGGGGTCGGGAGGTCGGGTGGACCGAGGACCGTGCGGGGCAGCAGCGGATGGAGGCCTGGGTCTCAGCGTGTACCCCGCCGCTCCGTGTCCAGGTGGGCACCACCGCGGCTCTACGGGCAGCGAGGCGGCGGGAACGGCCGATGGTGCCGCGGGAGTCGAGGGACCCGTTGGGCCGCGCTGGCAGGGGCCCTGGACACCTGCGTCCGCGCCCGGCGCAGRAGGAGCTGCTCGGGGGACCGAGCCGCCCCGGGTCCCTGCCCAAGCTCGGGCGCCRCCGCCACTCACCGTCCTCCGCCCTCCTGGGCCCCCGCAGCCAGTGCAGGTCACCGCCGGTCACYGCGGACCCGCACCTGCGGCCTCAGGGCCGCTCAGCCGCGCCCCCGCCCCTAATTGGGCCGCGCTTCCGACGTCTCACCTCCGATTGGACAGATTCCCAAGGTCCCCGCCTCGGGCGCCCGGGATTGGTTAGAGTTCCCCGCAGCGCTCCGGCTGGTTCTCTGGGCACGCCCCTCTCGTTCCGGATTGGACAGCTCCTCAGCCTTCTGGGCGACAGGAGGCGGGAAGGCGCCCGGGATTGGTTAGAGTTCCCCGCAGCGCTCCGGCTGGTTCTCTGGGCACGCCCCTCTCGTTCCGGATTGGACAGCTCCTCAGCCTTCTGGGCGACAGGAGGCGGGRAGGCGCCCGGCCCGCCCGGCCCGCCCGCGGGGTCCTCCTGCGAGCTTATCCGCCGGCCCCAGGATGGCACGGCCTCTGCCCGCAGCGCGGCGTCCGCTCAGCGTGCTCCTTTTGGGATGGGGGCCCAGGTCCGGCCTAGGGAGCCAGGGCCGGGACCCGGAACTGTTGACTCAGCGCGACGGGGTCCGACCCCTGTCCCGTCGAAAGCCTCTCGGGGGGCGGGAGCCCTGCGTTATTGTCCAATCAGAAAGCTGGGGGTCGGGAGCTGGCGGTCCGCCAATCATAGAGCCCGGCGTGAGACCCGCGGTCCAATCAGAGTCAGGGGAYGGAGCGCGCGGACCCGGCGTCCCCGGGAGGGCTCCCCGCTCAGCTGCAGCGTCGCGTGGCCGCGGAGGAGCTCAGGATGGTGAGTGCAGGCGGCCGGAGCCTGGGCGCGGGGGAGCGGCCGCAGGTCTCCCCCGACCGGGCGGGCCACACCGGGAGGGCGGCGCCCGGCTCGCGGCGCGCGTGGGGAAGGGGACGTTGGGGACGGTCAGCGCGGGGCCTCGGGCGACCTGGGATGCCCCGGACACCGTCCCCTGGGCTGGGTTTGGGGGCCTCAGATCTCAGCCAGCGTGGACCCGCGTCTCCGGGTGTCTCGCAGTGGCCGAGGACGCGGAGCCTCGGTCCGGCTGCCCCTGGCGCCGCCTGGTGACCGCAGCCGCGGAAAGGCCTCCCAGGGTCCCCCCGCCGCGGGGGCGGCGGAGGCGCTCGGCCCCCCACGGTGAAGCAGGTGGAGAGGTTGTGGTCCCCGAAACAGGACTCTGGGGCGGGGCGGGGCTCAGTGGCCGAGGCTGGCCTCGCACGTGGGAGAAGTAAAGGTACAGTGTCCACCTTCAGCTAAAAAACTACCGAAAAAACAAAAGACAACCACGCAGCCCTCTTCCCACAAGGTGCAGCGTTCACAACTGTCCCTGTGGCGTTCCCTCCGTGGGGCGTCAGGTGGCGGTGYCCTGTAAAATGGGACCTCGGGGCCGACAAACAGAAGAGCAGTTGGCTGAGGCCTGTTTTCCCCTAGAGGCCAGCAGTTTCCAGTTACTCAACGATACAAAAAGTGCCTGAGCGTTTCCTTCTCTACCTGGACCTTGGACATGGTAGTTCTGCTGCAGTGTTCAGGCCCTGGGGCGGGGTCTCTTGTCACCCAGGTTGTCAGTGGGGATGTGAAACAGGAGTGGGGTGTGGGGCCGGGAGGTGAGGCTGCGTCCAGCTGCGCCCAGGGTGCATGAGGTGAGCTGGGATGGCCTCCAGCCTGGTGCAGCCGCAGCAGGAGCAGTTTCTCCTCACAGGAGCCACCGAGCTTTGGAGGAGGCTCCTGGGGCCTGTAAGTTTGCAAGTGGTTTGTTTCGAGGTTGTTCCTAAACACAAAAAATACTAACCATGCCCTCACCACGCCGACACACTGGCCTCTTTCACAGGTTTGCCGAGGCTCTGGGTCATCCTGTTAACTCACTGATTCTAGAGCTTACGGGCTTGTTGTTTCACGTTTATTTTTCGATGATGTCATAGACAGTACTACTGTAGTCGTTCTGAGGTAAGACCCCAGAGAGGCCCCAACCATAATCATAACAGTTCTCCCTGCCAGCAGGATTGYTAGAGAGTGTCTCATTGTGGTTTGAAGCATCCCTTTCTTGCAAGGTTCCTCTTTTAACAGCTACCTTTGCAGTCAGGCTGGTTGCTGAGCAAAATTTACTATTTCTGTTTTTCTTGGTAAACACTCCYTTGTGTTCCTCCTAAGAATATGGAGCAAGAAGGAGGCTGAGGCAGGAGAATCRCAAGTTTAAAGCCAGCCTCAGCAAAAGCCAGGTGCTAAGCAACTCAGTGAGACCCTGTGTCTAAATTAAAARAAAAAAAAAAATAGGGCTGGGGATGTGGCTCAGTGGTGGAGTGCCCCTGAGTTCAATCCCCAGTCCCAAAATAATGATTTATGTAGGGCTGGGATGGTGGCTCAGCGGTAGAGCGCTCACCTCGCATGTGGGACCCAGGTTCGATTCTCAGCACTACATTAAAAAAAAAAAGGCATTGTGTTATGTCCATCTACAAAAAAAAAAAAGAAAGAAAAAAAGATTCTCTCTCTCAAAAAAAAAATAACTTGGGTAACCACTCACTGAGTATAAATGTCAAAAGAATTTTGCAGTTTTCCTCTCTGTACCACTAGAGCTTCAATAAATCTGCTTCCTGCAAATTCTCTGGGTGTCTGGCCTCATCTTTCCTACATCAATCTTTGTTTTGGTCTCCATGTGCAAAATGCATCTTCAGTTTCTAAATTTTGGAGGAAAAAATATGGGGTTGTAAATTGGATAAGTTTAATATCCTAGAAATTTGCTAACAGTGTAGGAATTGACCCCCACCATCACATTTTTATTTCTTCCATTTGATCACCAACACTTGGGATTCGCACTCATTTTTGTCCATGTAGTGTATAAAGCAGGGTCTCCTGGTGGTCACTGGCGGGTGCAGCAGGTCTCCTGTGCCTGCTGAGGGGTGTTTCKGGTTGCCCTTGAGTCTGGGCACTTGCATCCGCGGCAGCAGTCCTCGGTGTGTCGGGTGACTGGCGCGGGTGTGCTCACGCCCAGGGCCTCTGCTGCCTGGTGTCTCCCAGCTTCCTATGGGTTGGCGGGTGCAGTGAGGATCTTCTTCAGTTGGAGGTTTTCCTTCTGTCCCTCGACTCCATGCTGATGGCGGGGCTCTTCGTGGGGGCGAAGCTGGGTGGTCTCCCCATGTGCCTAACACCCTGTGCTCATAGGCCACCAGGACATGGGGCTGCGAGATCCCAGGGCCTTGTTTGTCATTCAGGGAGATGGCGAAGACATTGCTGATCCCAGATGACCACAGCCCTGGCCCTGTGTGTCACAGCGTCCACCATGCCCACTGCCACGGGCAGTGGTGGCTCTTCCCCAGAAACAGGGACCGTCTGCAGCTGGTGCTGACTCAGAACCTTCCACTCCTCTCTGTGGTCTTCATGTGTCCTTCTGTGTCTTCAGCCCCTCCTGGCCACCATCATGAGTGAAGGCCTCGCTGAGTTTCAGGGACCTCCCTCCTCAGTCCTGTGGAAAACGTGGCTGTCCTTGGCATGTGTCCTTCACCTCAACATCAGGAGTTTTCCATAAAATCAGAAACACGCCTGGGCCGACTGACGTCCATTCAGGCCCTCTGTGTGCTGCAGGTGCTCAGTACGGCCACCCAGGGCTGCTCTCGGAACGAGGGCTCTCTCCTGGGCCTGCTTCGGTGGCATTCAGCAACATTTAATGATCTTCATGTTTCATGAGCTTCCCATTTGCTGGTTATTTCATGTCATTTACTAGATATACTTTGGAACTTGAAATTATTTCAAATTATTATTTTAAAATTGAAATTAAAATTAGTTTTTATAGTCTGTTATCTTATCAAAAAAACTATTTTTTGCAGTACTGGGGTTTGAACCTGAGGCYTTGAGAGTGGTCTGCAAGCCTCTACCACTGAGCTACTTTCCTGGCCACTCTAAAAACGGTCAGCAGTGTGTGGGCAGTGACTCAGAGTGCTGCACACTTAATCATGTTGASTGAGATTCTTCTTCTCCTGGGGCAGAGTCGTAGCTCAGAGGCAGAGYGCTTGCCTCCTACCTGTGAGACACTGGGTTGGATTCCCAGCAGTGCATAGAAATATAAAATAAATATAAGAAAGCAAATAAAGTAAAGGTCCATCCGCCTTGATTTTATTTGCCCGCAGCCCCCTGTGCCAAGAGCCGGAGGAGACGGCAGAGAGGGGTGTGAAACATGAGGCCTGCTGAGAAGCGCTCCCGGGGTCCGGTGGTGCGGGCTACGTAGGGGCTTCTCCCGGGTCCAGTGCTGAGGGTGGRCGGGCGCTCACAGGAAGCCCTCTGGCAGCAGAGCGGTCAGGAGCGTCTCCACACAGTCCCCCGGGCTTCTGCTGGAGGAGCTTCCTTGTCCTTCCTGCTGCTTTGCCAAGGGCAGCGGCCTGGGTGGACGCTCCTGTGCCCGGGGCTGTGGGGAGGGCTGGCGGGTCAGGTCAGGAGGCGCAGGAGCTGGGCTTGCTCGCCTGGGACCRCGGGGCAGCAGGCAGCCTGTGTTCCCAGCACCGGGAGAAGGCGGGGCTCTCCAGGTGACGGGAGACAGTCCAGCCAGCTCTCGTGACTCCTTCCCTTGGCGAGATCTCGGGGAGAGAAAGGGGCACTCGGGGACCTGGCCTTTTACAGCACCGCGGGGTGGACGCTGGAAACCAGAGAATCTGTTCCCACCTCCTGGGCGCCGGGTCCTGCTGGGCAGTGCTTTCGGACTCACAGCCTCCTGACCACACATTGGCTCTTTCAGGGCTCTGTGACCTTTGAGGACGTGGCTGTGAACTTCACCGTGGAGGAGTGGGCACTGCTGAGTTCGGCTCAGAGGGACCTGCACAGAGAGGTGATGCTGGAGACCTGGCAGAACCTGGCCTCAGTAGGTGAGGAGCCCCTCCCCAGGTGTGGGAAGTGAACTGTCCCTGCTTGTCTCCGCCTGTTCCAGAGGCTGCACCTTACTGGGGACACGCTGGGATCTCAGACGGGTCGGCGGGCCCAGAGCTGAGCCTCAGAGTTCTTCTGTGACAATTAAAATACTCAAATTAAACAGATTTTACTTTTGCCTTGATTAAAGATGAAGCTTCTTCGGTGTCATTGGAAGGAGTGTAGTTTCACAGGTGGCTTYGGGCCTCTTGTTTGAAATTTTGTGATGATTTCACTGTTGAGTGGACTAGATGCCATTTGGCCTCTTGGCTGCACTGACCCTCCTGAGACTGCGGCTGCCTCGGCCTCTTCCTTTGCCCAGAGGGACTTTCTCCCGTTTTAGCTGGGCACGGTGGCACTCAGGCGGCTGAGCAGAGGAGCACAAATTCAAGGCCAGCCCTGGCAACTTAGTGGAGCGCTACCTCAAAATTGTTCAATGTAGGGGCTGGGGATRTGGCTCAAGCGGTAGTGTGCTTGCCTGGCATGCGCGCGGCGCTGGGTTCGATCCTCAGCACCACATACAAAGAAAGATGTTGTGTCCGCTGAAAACTGTAAAATAGATATTTCAAAAAAATTATCTCTAAAAAAAAAAAATTGTTCAATGTATTTTTTAGTTATTGATGGACCTTTATTGTATTTATTTGTATGTGGTGCTGAGAATCCAACCCAGCGCCTCACGCGTGCCAGGCGAGCACTCTGYCCCTGAGCCACTGCCCAGCCCCTACCTCAGAAGTTTAAAAGTGGGGAAGGCAGCTGGAGTGTAGCTCAGTGGTAGAGGGCCTGGGTTAAATACCGAGTCTCTCCCCTCTCCCTCTCTCTCTCTCTCTCTCACACACACACACACACACACACACGCATACATACATACACATACTCATACACACACATACATACACACATGCATACACACATGCATACACACATAGACACGCACATACACACATAATACACATACACACGTGCATGCACATACACACATGACATACACAAATAACACACATGCACACACATATACACATACACACATACACAGACATGCACATAGACATACACATATGCACATAACACCTAAACACATAACATACATGCACACACATGTACACATAGACATACACATACACACATAGACATGCACATACACACACATAGACATACGCACATAACACCTAAACCCATAACATACATGCACACACATGTACGCATGCACACAAACACACACACACCAGTGTGTCTGCTTTTTCTGTCTCAGTTATGAGGCTCCATTTAAAGCCAGGACATCAGTCTCTCAGCAGATTATGTGTAGGGAGATATCTGAGGAACATAAAATGGCAAGGTTCACAAGAATTAATTCCTATGCCCACATTTTAGAAAACTCTGGAGACCATCCCCTGGAAGATGAGCCTGAGAGCCAAGGGGCACACCTGAGGTGAGTCGCACTCCTAAGAGAAAGGGTGTCCCTGGGGACTGGTAGGTCGTGACCATTATTAAGGTGGAGCTCGTAGAGCTGTGCCGTCCTGCCAGGGAAGCTGGACAGCTTTCACATGGACAGTCTGTCCCGGGAAGGGTACTGACAGAATGGCGGCAGCGGGCCTTCTGCAGGGGGCAGCGGGCGAGGTGGACCTGGGGCAGGTGACTGGGGAACAGCAGASCTCTGTGTCCAGGGGCCTGGGGGGGTGGACGGGTATTGTGATCCTCCTTTTCTTGGCAGTGTCAGTTTCAGTTTGGGTTAAGATGGAGTCCCAGCATTGAAACAGAGTTACTCATGTTTGGGGACCTCACRGTTCTAAATTGTTGATCTGTAGGAATTTTAATGAGAAATTTTTTGAATTTTATTTAAATACTAAATGAAACAATTCACAAACTATTAGAGGGAAGCCTATTTTGTACGTATACGTATTGCATATATATTTAAAAGATCTTCTAGTTGTTAATGGACACAGTGCCTTCGTTTTATTTATTCATCCATTTTTCTGTGGTCCTGAGGGTCCAACCCAGTGTCCCCCTGAACTAGGCCAGCCCTGGAGGACCTAGAGACCAGCCCCGTGCAGATATCAGTACCATACACCCATCGGTGCCCCTCCTGAATGATGGTGTGTGGGGAACGGTGTGTCACCGTCACACACTGCACACTGGTGCCATGTGAGGGTGGCGCTACTCTGCAGACGGTGTCAGAGCTGTTTGGTGATGACATCCCTGGGCCTCTTCCAGAGCCTGTCTCTCCCCGGTTCAGACAGTTCAGAATAGAAACTCCACGGTGCTGAAGGCAAAGGCAGACTTCTACTTCCCTGTTAACGTCATTGTCATTGTGCTATGAGACTTTCCGTTTTTTTGGCAGAGGTCGTGTGGAGGACAGCCTCTGTGGAGGCGGCGAGGCTCCCCTCAGCCCYGGCCCACGTCCCGGCCACTGTGTGCGAGGTGCTCCTGACCCGAGGCCGTGCGGGAGGGCCACCGGGTCGCCCTGTGGACAGTGGCCCTGTGGGCGTTGGGGGTGCGGACAGGCCTGCACCTGCCCCTGGCTGCCGGGCAGCCACGGAGAGAAAGCCAGCGGGGAGGAACCGTGCGAGGGGACCTTTCCTCTGTCCGCCCTCGCGGGACAGCTCGGGACGCGCACTGAGGGYGGAAGCGACGCGGGCCAGGCGTGGGCGACAGCGCCCCCCGGGGTGTGCAGTCCCTCGGGCCTCGCGAGGGGGGACCACGCGGCCGAGGGGCCGGGCAGAAGTGAGGACCGTGGGAAGGACTCTGTTGGTGCCTCCCGGAGACCCGTGGGGACCGTCCCTGGGGGAAAGCCCTACGCGTGCGAGCAGTGCGGCAGGAGCTTCCAGCACTCCAGGTCCCTCACGCGACACAGGAAGACACACCACGGAGCCCAGGACACCCACGAGGGCCAGCGCACCAAGGGCCAGCGCGCCGAGGGCCAGCGCACCGATGCGGCCGGGGGCCAGCGCACCGAGGGCGCGGCTGCGGCTCGGAGGGAGTTCACGTGCAGCGAGTGCGGGAAGGTCCTGGCCTACCCGTCAGCCTTCCAGAACCACCTGCGGACGCACTCCGGGGCCAAGCCCTACACCTGCGGGCAGTGCCAGAGGCCCTTCAAGTACCCGCAGTCTCTGCAGCGCCACGAGATGACCCAYGCCCGCAAGGAGCCCTACGAGTGCGCGCGCTGCGGGAAGACCTTCAGCCTGCCCGAGACCCTGCGTGCGCAYGGGGCCATGCACGACGCCGAGGGCCAGCCCTCGGCCCCCCCAGGCCCATGAGGGGACCCGAGGGCCCACATGGCGGGGCCCTCCCAGGGTGGGTGTGGAAACGCCTCCGGTGGCCTCCCCTTCCAGGACAGGAGGACTCCGTCGAAGAGCRACGGACCAACGTGGGAGAGAGTGAAGGTGCCCCCAATGCCAGGTCGTGACAAGGTCACCCGGACCTCACGCTGGAGAGAAGCCCCATGAACGTGAGCAACGTGGGAGCCTGGGGCCCATCCCTGATCTTCACGGGGAGCCCATCCAGGAGGGCAGAGGTGGGAAGGATGCTTCAGGTGGCTCCTTCGAAACCCTGCCAAGAAGGCGCCCTGGCAGACGCCTGGGAATGTGCCGCGGTCTGCCTGGGCACAATCAGGA